CCCCCCCCCCCCCCCCCCCCAAAAAAAAATAAACAAACAGGCATTCCTGCAGTAGCCATCTCAATGCATGCATAAACAAAATCTTTCTCATCAACAAGGTAACGGATGGAATGCACATGGCAAAAGAGTCACAGCCAACATTGCGTTCACCCTCCTCATGTCAAGTGGCCTGTAATGTTACGTCATATAGCCCAGGAGAGCTGTAACATGTACCAGTAGTGAGTGAAATCAGAATCAGCTGTGATTGTTAGTTAGTACAATGAAAGCCTGAAAGGCCTTTCACTGAATGATTTCTTTCCCCATTGTGGAAAATAAAAAAGTCCCTGTCGCTGACCAGCTCTGGAGTGCTGAAGAGTCAGAAATATATCTCACTATGTGGCTTAAAGGACTGCTGAACAATCTGCTGCTCATTCACAAAGCGAGGGCTGTGGAGGGAGAAAGAGAGGGGTGGGTGAGGAAGGAGCGAGGCAGAGGAGACTTAAGAATGAGAGGTGTGCGAAAAGGGAGACCTGGAGAAAAATTAATTAAGTTTAACACAATATCTACATGGTCTAAATTATGAAACACCTATAATAGATTGATATTCTATACTGACCATGCCTGGTCCTCTTTTTGCTGCCGTTGCAAAGGGCACTTTGAAAGGATATCTGCGCTTTTGCCAATATGAATTCAAAAAGAATTAAGTCACACACCGCTTTAGGAGACGTGCAGGTCATTCAGGCATTTGGTAATGCAGCCATTCTCTCCTTCTGCCTGTCAGCACTGCAACGTTTGACCATTTATGGCAGATTCTTGATAACATAGAGAGAGATATTTGTAAAACACTCCTATGTGACTGACATACAAAACAGGTCTTACTGTAAAATACTTTCCAAAAATTGTTTCAAATCATATGGTTACGGTTTGGTTGACCGAGTAAGTGCGTTTACTGGTGACTCTGAGCCAGATGTTGTAACTGGTTGGCGTAGATGATAAAACACAGATGAGTATCTAAAATTGAATG